AGGCAGAGTCACTGCTCTCTATGCATTCCCACTTGCTATGTGACTTGCTTTCCCATTTGTCTTCGATTTAATCAATTTTACCTGAGCAATTATAATCTTACTGATTAACCATAGTTCTGTCCCACTTCACGCCCACCTTGCAAGTTCCCAACTTGGATCCACCTGGCCTCATTGTTTTGCTCTATAAAAGTCCCTAGAAAGACAGAGTCTGTGGCAAGCCACTTGGGACCCCTTCTGTCTCTCTCGGACAAAAGCTTTCTTTCTCTCAATAAATATTTCTGCTCTCAACCTCCATTGTTCCTAAAATTTGCTATTCAATTTTAGAGACCACGAACCCATACTGGACACCTAGCAGGTTGGGAGTTTGTTTCCCTATATCATTTTCAGGTGCCTTTAGGAAAGCCCTAAAAATTCACTGGAATGCGGAAAGGTGACTCAGGAACAGGGCAAATGGATCTGCTTAGAACTCTGGGTTCCTCCTAGGGGTAAATGGCCAGTGGAGGGAAATGGAAGCTTCACCAGCACCAACACCAAGCTCTAACTGTGAGATATTTAGATCACAACCACCAATTTGGTTCCCACTTAACATTTTAATGCCCAGCTGAAACACCCCTTATATTCCCCCAGCTGATCCTATTTTTTTCTTGAATCAGGTTTAATTTTCTCCTGGTTAAATATATATATATATATATATATATATGAAACGCAGAGGAAGAGCAGGCCACATTCATAAAACTGTAGTACTAAAAAAGCCCGCTGACTCCTCAGAGGGTTGATGGTTTGAGGCACATGCATTAGCATTTGCCTCCACAGACTGATCTGTTTGTTGGTTGCTATGCAGATGGTGATAAAATATCCATTTGGGTGGAGTCAAAAATTACATTGCAGTCTTCTAGCACATCTGTGAATCCTGGCCTTTTGAACAAATGGCTGTGGTTCACTAGGCCTCTGCGCTGTCAGAAACTGCTTCCCAAATACCAGGTCTGAACCAAGCCCTACCATATGGGTGCACAGGATCAATGAAAAATGGTGTCTGAGGGGCCCCAAAGCATGAGAAGATCTGGCAAAATGTGACAGGCTTTATCCCAGCTGCTGAAGAGAAATGTACTGAGACTAGAAAGACTAAGGGGTGCATGCCTTCAGAACGTGTCTGTGGCTCAAAATACACCCTAACAGATCCTTGAGAGAGCCCCTGGCGGCCGTGCTAACCTTGGCATTGTTATCATTAGAGGCTAGGCTCATTTCTGGCACCTAACATTGGACACATTGACAGCAACGAGGTTGATGGAAGAGGAAAGAATCTGTTTTGCAGTGAGGAAAAAAAAAGTTCTCAGATTTCTCAAACCATTTGAAATCATGCCAGAGAAATTCTTGATTTCAGCATTTTTAAGCGCTCTGCGATGATACAGCAAGCGGTGTCCCCCACATGTGATGATGTATTTCAGAGCCAGAGTTTTCTCAAGATGTTCCAAGCCTGCAGGCTCCTGATCCTTTTTCAAATTACCAAGATGATAGTATCCCAGTGAGAGTTGTGATTAGTCTAAACTCTCCACAGCTGTGAGAGATGAACGTACAAATTCCAATAAAGATTCTGCATGTTCTGGACTGAATTTACCTACATGACATTGAAGCCTAACTCAGAGACTGCTTAAAAGAGCTGGAGCTGCTGCAGTGCTATTCCATTTCTGCCACAGCATCAGGTGTCAGGAGGCTTATGACTGTACCGGAGGATGCCTCTGATACACCGATGTCACCGCCCAGCAAGGGTATTTGCTTAGCAGGCCTGCGGCTGTGGGGAGAAGAGCAGGGCAGGGAAAATTACACCTGAAGGCATGGGAATTCAAAGAGATCCTGCAATTCATGATAGGAAGAGTCAGGAGGATCATAAAACACCCAGAAACTGAAGGGGTTGGCCTGGAGTTACAGGGGACAACAGAACCAGCTGTGTCATCACCTCTGCTTCATTTATTAAAAAGCAGGTTTAGAGCATTTTTCAATTACTTCGAAAAGCACACAGGGCTTTTGTTTTCTTAATTCAGATACCTTTTCCATAAAACACTTCTTTGATGTCTTTCTTCTCATCGTGGAGACACAATATCCAACACTCACAACTCTAAGGAAGAAATGTTTACTTTGACTTGCAGTTTGTAGAGGTTTCATTCTACAGACAGCTGGCTCCAAAGCAGAGTGGCATTACAAGGATAATCAGATGGCCTTACAGTCAGGAAGCAGAGAGAGATCAAGGGAGGAGGGAAACACATAAACCCTTCTAAACCATTCCCCCGTGGGCCACCTCCACCAGCCAGGCCATAAGCTCATCAATGGGCTAATCCATTGATAAAGATCACAGCCTATGATCCAATCACCTCCCTAAAGCCCCACCTATAAATCCATAAGGCTTTGGGGGAACCTCTAGATATAAACCACAATGCTTAGAATACTAAGTACTGTATGAATAATAACAGATGGCATGCTTCTTTTACTTATTTAATAACTGTATCTGAAGGTACTCACCTGTACTCTTTTCTGAAACATCTAATGTTTATCATGCTTCCTAAAACTGGGAAAAATTTAAGGGAGAAGGATTCACAAATTGTGTAAACACATTAACAATTACAGAAGAAAAAAAGATTGCTCACTTTAAAGAATGAATCGCATGAATTTTTAAAAATTATCTTCTAATATGACTTGCATAAATGTGGTAGAGTTTTGGAAAGCCATGTCTAGATTCATCTTGCAAATCCACCTCCATAGTTTGGAGTCCATTGATGTGCTCCTTGGTATCACTTCTGACATCTGAAGATTTTAATAATATGTTAATTGCTGTAGATTGTATCACACAGCTGTACACATCTGCAACCCACATATGTAATATGTGGCATTTCTCCTTGTGGACATTGAACTTGATTTTTCCCTCAGAGGCAAATCAAAAAAAGAGAACATGATAAAGGTCAGGAGATTCATTGAAGAGTTGAAACTCTGGGTGATCTACACATGGTCTTTTATTAAAATGAAGGAAAGAAAGAACAAGCTTAATTGTTTTCTAATATTCACACAAACAAAACATAAACCAGAAACATTTCCTCTCTTATTTTTCCACAATGGCATATTGCAAATCTATCTGTCACCTCAGAATTCATTTTTTTAAAAGAAAACCAAATCAGTACTGTAAGCCTGTCAAATGGGACAGCAGCAATGCATTTCTCGCCTGGAACCAGGCTGCAAGCACAGCTTTTCAAGAGGTTTTTTCCTGGTTTTCTGCGGGAGGTCAGTGCCAGGTACAATCACATGGCAAGGCAACTTGGGAAAAAAATTTTTTTAACTGATGAATGGATAAACCAGAATTCTAATAGCCAAAACAAAGCTGCAGGGGATATAACCAGAGCAAGCCCACAGGAAAGGGAATTGCTGCATTCCTGAGAATGTTCAAAATTGATCCAATAACAGTAGTGGTGTGATAATAAATGATAACCCGCTCTTAGAGGATAAAAATAATGCTTTGTATCATGTGCAATTTCCCTGGGGTAAGTCCATTCTCTGTGGCTAATACCAAGCTTCCCAAGCAACATCACTAAATTAAGGTGAAGTAAAATACACATCACCTATTGTATAGACTTTCAGATACACTAGATGCAAATAATCTCTAATGTAATAGTAAAATGGACTGAAATAATTAGAAATTGGTGACTTTTTTAGTTTTAACCTTAGTTTTAATATAATTTAACTGTAAGTTTTCATAATTTAATTTTAATAGTAGTTGCATTTAATAATTGGCTCCCGAAATTCATCAAAAAGTTAAAGGTGGGTTCCAGTCAGTAAGTACCATTAGCTCCAGCATGCACTGTATGCTGCTCTTCCGGGACATTAAAGCTACTTTGAACAAACAACAAATCAAATAAATGAAACTGGTAATAAACATCTGGATCAAACCATCTCCAAAGTTTCCAAGAAAACCAATCCCTTTGTTAGTCTCAGAAACCATTCAAAGCACAGGCTAGACCAGAGTGTATTTCTACGAAAATCATCATTGATCATACTGTAGTTTGTATCACGCGTTACACTTTTTTCAAAGTAGTATTTTTTGTCACAATGGGGCAGTCTTACCATGCAAAATAATTTTAAACTTGCAGGTAACAGTATTTTAATTCCTAGTGGGTGAAAAGAAAGTCCTGGGAGCTGTTCCTTCAAAAGATCACCAAAGGGGTGCTCAGCCCTGCAGTTTCCTGTCCCTGTGCAAACAGGTAGATGTAACAAAGATCCTGAGCTAGCTGGTTCTGGCGCTCGCGGTCTCCTCTCTCTTCCTCCCCTTCTCTCCAGGAATTCGACTAGAACTCCTTTTCTGATGCATCAGAAGGCGTTGGGATACGTTCTAAGAGTTCTCTGAAGAGCTAAATCTATTGGAGCTGTAACACTGGAACCTGCCCGTAACAGGCGAAGAGCTGAACAACGTCTTTCCTCCGATCCAAAGGCAAGTTACTGCAGCTGACGTTTCTGTGCGGAGCCTACATAGAATGTTCCAGCTAAAATTAACAGCAGCAGTAGTCGTGGCCGAGTGGTTAAGGCGATGGACTAGAAATCCATTGGGGTCTCCCCGCGCAGGTTCGAATCCTGCCGACTACGTCTGCTTCAGTTTTGCTGTCTCTCTTTTAGAGTGCATTCCCCGCACTTCTTCGGCAGGTAATCTAAGACATTTATGAGTGGCCGACACAATTTAAGAAAGGAGACCTCAAAGGAGGAGTAAATAAGGAAACAAGGAATCCTGCTTGTGATCATGGCTTGGGCCCGGGAGGGAAAGATGGGACGAGATAACACTGCAAGAAAAGTGAAGTGCCAAAGATGTCCTGGGACCTGGCCGCTCCGACCACCGGCCACGCGAATGGCCTCAGCCTTGCCAGCGTACGGAATCCTCCAGCGCGAGACCCCAGCGTCTCCGCGCTGCGGGCCTAACAGGCCGCCGCAGGGCTCGCGCATGCGCGAAGTTAGGCTGGCAGGCGCGCCTGCGACAAATCCTTGCGTTGCCCTGGAAACCACCTGGCGTCGCGGCCCTGGGAGCTAGAAAAAGACGTTACGATTCAAAATGGCGGAGGACTTGGATGATCTCTTGGATGAAGTCGAATCCAAGTTTATCAGACCCGACCCACTGAAACTAGACAAGGACAAACGGTCCAAAGGCGGCGGCGGCAGCGGCGGGACCACCCAGAGCAACGACTGGAACCGAATCCAAGCGAAAGAGAATCTCAGGTTAACGGGCGGGCGGGTGGCCTGTTCTAGTAAAGCCCTACCCTAAGTCCCAAGACCGCCCCTCCGCTGCCGCCCCAAAGGAAAGTGCCCGAGATCTCCAGGCTCCTCCGTGTTAAGCTCAGTGCCTCCAGCCGTTGCTCCTGGGACAGCGCACGCTCAGTCGCCGTCAGCGAGCCTCCCGGCGTCGCTCCGCCAGGCGCAGAATTCGCGCCGGGCTGGCCGACTCTGCTTCCGAGAGCCCGGGGCCCTGCTGCCGGCCTAAGCCCTAATCGGGCAGGAGCACAGCTCGATCCTCCTGCCTCAGCCAGGAGAGGCCCAGCTTTGGGCAGTGCCTAGAGCCGTTCTTTACAGTCCTTCTGCTGCTGAGCTCATTACCCAGCCCAATCCCTAGACTGGTCGTTAAGGAAGGAGAAAAATACTATGTTCTATTCCGTGGTGGCCTGGAATTTTTTTTTTTTTTTAACTCATAGTGTTAGATAAGATTAGATTCAGGACAGAAGCATCAGTTGTTGTGAACTTTTATCTCTAATTAGCTCACCTAATACCTTTCTTAGCGTGGCCTCAGGTTAAGGGACCCAGCGGAGACCACGCATCCACGTGGAAATTTGACATTTCTTAAGCATTTGGGTGTTTCGTTCTTTTGTTTTGAAACAAGGTCTCTCTCGATTGCCTGGGCTGGCCTTAAACTCCTGGGCTTAAACTATCCTCTTGCTTCTGTCTCCCTTCTAGCAGAGACAGCAGGTACACAACAACCTTTTGGTTTTGGTTTTTGACCCTAAAAAATTACCTTTCAGATTTACCAGTCTTTTTTCCTCCATATAATCATTAATAGGACTTACTAGTTTCATCTCCTTATTTCCTCCTCAACTTGAAAAAATCAAAATGTTTACATCCTGTCCTTCAAAATGTTGACTTGGGAGACTCAGCAATAACTTCCTGAATGTTTTGGGAAGTGCTTCTTACCTAGAATATTTGGGAAAGGCTTGTGAAATTGGCTTTGGATCCGTCCAAAAATCTGTCATTCTTTTTAATTTTATAGCTGGGTCGGTAGCTTGGTGTGCGTGATTTCTCAGATCCAGTTCCACTGCCACCCAGTTCACCAGACTGACTTACTAATGTAAGAGGTAAAAACATGCAATTTATTGAAAAAAGATTTGGAAGAGATATTTGGAAACAAAAATTCTTAAAAAAAATTAGTTGAGTACTAAGCAGCATTTTAAAAAAAAATAGAACTAAAATGACTACTTTGAGCAGGCCAGCTCCCATTCAGCTAAATGTTTATCACACTGTCAGTCTCCTTATATGCTATTACCTTGTGTGCCAGCACATTTACATGTACTGTTGGTACATGTAAGCAGCATTATTTTGCAATTTGTTTTGTTATTTTTAGGTTCCTTTAGGAGATAGAATTTATCAGAGCTTTCCAGAGCGTGTTCATTTTAAGTAGCACACAGAATATTCGATGTGTTGTGGCAGGCAGCTCAGATGGAAAAGACTGTAGTATTGCTGCTTACAGGAATCCTCCCAACACAGATTCTTTTATGCTAGTTTTACCTTCTAAAAATCTGTTAAAAAATTAAAAAGCCATCAGGGGTGGTGGTGCACATCTGTAATCCCAGCACTCAGAAGACTGAAGCAGGAGGATTATTGTGAGTTCAAGGCCAGCCTGGGTTACAAAGTGAGCTCAAGACCAGCCTGAACTACATAGATGCTGTCTCAAAAAAAAAAAAAAAAGTCAGAAAGCACTTTATTAATAGACTACCTGCTGATTGCACAGCAGTAGAACCTGTGTCTTTTATTAGTTAAAATACTGAAATTGCCTCTTAAAATAATGAATTAGCAGATAATATAGTAAATGATCATGCTACATCTGGATACCAGAAACAAATGCTAATGTAAAAGATAAAAAACATTCAATTTGTTGAAATGCTCAAAATGATAGAAATTATAATTTTTAAAAACAGACTGATATGAGTTGAGTAAAACTACAAGATGAGACAGAAATAAAGATAATATAATCTCTAGATAATAGCTACAATAATAATAGCTAATATTTATTGAATCCTTTTTGTATATTAAGTATTTTATGTTTTATTTAATCTCCACAGCTCCAAGAAGTGAATACTATTACAGTATCCTCATTTCACTGACCAAATTGGGCTTAAAAAATAGTTACCTAAGTGTGCTTGTTCACACGCAATCCTAGCAACTCAGAAGGCTGATGCAGGAGTTTTGAGTTCAGGAGCCACTTTGGTTACATAGCAAGACCCTGTCTCAAAAAAGAATACATACCCAAAGTCCTACTGCCAAGTCTATTAGGACATCATATATCTAAATTTAAACTTCAAGGAAATGCTGGCATTTTTTTTTAATTATTATAACTGTAGCAATGTTTAGGCAAATGCAGACACCATGAAATTGTGTGATCTAATAACAGATCAGAATCTTATGTTAGAATTTGGATCTCTGGACCAGTGATACGGCTAAGCAGCACAAGCACGTACGTTGCAAGCACAAAATCCTGAGTTTGATTTCCGGTACCAGAAAAAAAAAAGAATTTGGATCTCTGAGAGTACAAATTAGTTTGGTAGAGTTTGCATGCATATGACTCTTGAAATTGTGGAATTGCGTGAGAGAAGAGAACCCAGACAATATGTCATCACAACCAGAGGAAGATAGAACGTCCAACAATAGCACATGCTTCTGAAAATTTAAAAAGGAGTACAACTGAGAAAGACCACAGTGTTGTGATTTGGGAAATAATGACCTTTCAGAAGGAAGAGTTCCACTGTATTGAGAGATATAGAAGCCCGAGATGGACTATACTGGGGAGTCCTTTTAAGTAGTCCCCTAGATAGAATATCTAAAGTTCAATGAGATTAAATAACAAGGACAGTAGCTCTGGGCTCATAGTGATTTTACCACCTGAAGGGCATTTGGTAATGAGCAGACATTTTTAGCTGTTCACTAAAAGGTGAATGTTTAGACGTTTAAACCTGGGTAAAGATGTGCTCCTGGTATCTAGAGGGTGGAGGCTGTGGATGCTGTGGAGCACCCTACAATATACAGCAGCCCCTAACCACCCCCACATACCCCTCAAAGAATTATCTGGCCCAAAGTAGTAATTCCAAGGCTGAGAACCCCTCTGCCTGGGTTACCAGCAGGTACAAGTCAAGCCTACTTGTAAGGAAACAGAAAAAGATGATTATGGATCACTCTTCAGTTGGCAAGAAAGGGTGGTAGCTTCAAGAGGTTTTTCAAGTGGTTTGTTTTTCAGGTTTATTTTTGTTTGAGAAATTCTTTGCATTGAATGGGGTTGGGTTAGGTTTGGCTTGGTTTGGTCTTGAGCATACTTGAAGGCAAAGGGAGAAGCCAATGTAGAGATATTAAGATGTGAAAAACATTAAGAATAAAGGAAACAACTAAAGAGGCAAAGCCTGGAGGTAAATGGAAAAATATTGGGCAGCTGTCTGTGGGTTTTTTATATCCGGTTAAATTATCTTATTCCAAGCAGAAACAAAGAAGAGCCACATTGCTGATGTTAAGAAATTTCGAAGTAAGAATACATTCCTAGGGCCCAGCAGTTAGCTCAGTGGCATAAGTACTTACCTAGCGAGCATGAGATCATAAGTTCGATTCCTGGTTAAAAAAAAAAAATTCCTAAAATTAGAGATTTTGATCAAAAATACTTGTCTTCTAAAACCGGAGCGTTTAACAGTCCAGTGAAGTTATGAAATTGATACACAGTACCCATAGCGTGTTTTCCTAAAGAGCCAGTTTTATGTAGTGTTAGATATGTGGACTGTTTTAGTTTCAATTCCAAGCCTTTCCTGTCACAATTGCTATGCCTTTGGCAAGCTTGTGAATGTCAGTGCCTTTCTTGACCTAAAAATTGGGATAATAAAGTTATCCTCATGTAAGATGTTAGGACAGTGCCTGCCTGCTGCCAGTAGATCCTCAGTGTTTGCTTTGCTTTGTTTTGTTTTGTGTTGGAGACAGACCTGCTGTGTAGTTCAGACTGGCCTTGAACTCACTATGTAGCCTAGGCTGGCCTCTCCTGCCTCAACCTCCAAGCATTAGGATTACAGGCATGCACCTCCATACCTTGCCAGCGTTTGCTTTTAAATTGAGATTCTGGGCAGGAACCCTTTGTATTAACAGCCCAGTAATGTTTTTGCCTGTGAAAATAAAGAAATACTTGAAATATTCCAACATTTGGCTTTTGATTCTGTGACCTGTTTGGCTCCTCTAGTAAAGAATTATGGTTCAAGTGTTTGATGTAACTTAGAAAGGAGCGATTTTAGTTTCCTCTCAAATACAATATATGAATTTATACCTTATTTTAAAGTATATAATAGTAAAGTATATATGTGAATTTGTACTGATGACTTGCCTTAGGAGAACTCTTACTTAAATATTATGTTTATCCTTTGGTTTTCAGTGCTAATGGTGGACTTTAAACAAAACTTTGTTCATACTATCTGCTTCAAGCCTCAGGCAAGGTTTTTGTATGTATGTGTCTTTTTCTTTTCAGATCAACAGATACCTTTAAAAAAGAAGATCTTGATAGTCTTATTAATGAAATATTTGAAGAGCCCAGCTTTGACCAAAAACCTCTCGTAAGTGATATAATGTGCAGTAATGTATGCATTGTCCCGAGACGTGGAGAGTGGCCTTAAAATATGAAGGAGGCACGGTGGCTCTCTGCAGTCCTCTGAATTCTAAGAAATACAGTTACTTAAGTGATTATGCTTAAAGAATTATGGAGGAAATAAAAATACTCAGAACTCACATGATATGTTTCCTTGTTCATTTCTCAGCAAGAATAAAAGACTGGAAAAGCTGTTAATGTAAAAATCAATTCACAGGTCAAGTTGATCACTTGTAGGCCCTAAAAGGTCCTTTCTACAAGACCAAAAGCAGCTTTTGTTACAGGAATGTGTTTAGCGTCTCAGACAGGATGTTACTGTAATTGTCCTAGGAACCAACAACTAAATTAATAATATTTTAATTTTTTAAATGTTTTTCTATGTTTATATTTAAAATGTACTTACATTTCTATATTTATACTTATAAAAAAATTCATAAAATAGCCAGGTGTGGTGGCCCATATCTGTAATCCCAGCTACTCAGGTAACTCAGGCAGGAGGATGACAAGTTTGAGGCCAACCTGAACAACTCAGGTTTGTTTTTGGTCTGGGGATTTTTTGTTTGTTTGTTTGTTTGTTTGTTTTTAAGACAGGATCTCACTACGTAATCCAGGCTGGCCTCGAACCTGCAGTGATCCTCTGGCCTCAGCTTCCCAAATGCTGTGACTTTTGGCATGCATTAGCACAGCTGGCCTTCAGCTGAAGATATTCACTAGCAGTTGGAAGGCCCTGGGTTCAGTACCAAGAAAACTTGGCAAATAATGAAACAGCCCCCTATATACTGAACTTACGACACCTACCCATACTAAACCTATCTTAATATTCTGCTGTGTCTGCTCCTCTGGATTGGTTTTTTTTTTAAAGAAATAAAAATTAGAGATACAATTTAAGACCTCCACAAATCCTTCTGTACTGCCTTCTTTCCCGGAAGTAGCTATCATCCTTTTCATCTACATTGTACTGAACAGATAATGTTTCATCAGTTATCTGTACAGTCATCTTTTAGCCATGTACAAGGGTTTCTTTCTCTAGGATGCATAAACCTAGAAGAGGAATTCTTAAATCATAAGGTGCGTTCATCTTCACCTTATTGCTACACATTGGCAAATTATTTCCCAAAGGGACTTGTCATTTATATTTTTCTATATATTAGGTTGTTTATTGGCATGCTGTGTGTGAAATTTATTTTTTAGATGTAGAAGAATAAGGTTAAATAGATGTCTAATTTACAAAGACCACTGAAAAAGTCTTAAGTATAATACCTAGAAAAACCTGTTCTAGTTTTTTCGGTTTGGCTTGATGTGGTCTGGTGTTTTGAGACAGGCCTTTAGTTCAAGCTGGGCTCGAACTCACTGTGTAGCCTACGCTGGCCTCAAGCTCACAGATCGCCTGCCTCAACCTCACTAAGTGCTGGGATTACAGGTGTGCGACACCAGACTTAGCTTTATTTTTTGTTTTTGAAGATGGAGAACATTAAGGAAGGTGTGGTAGTGTTATGGATAGGAGCCACTGGTATTCTTGTCAACCATACAAAATCAAGTGACTAATACGGATTATAGGATCTAAATTTAACATTTTAAGTTCCTACGAGATAAATTAAAAAGCTGAGGCCTATAGCTTATGACATAAAGAGAAGCAATGTTAAACCCAATACAGTATACTCGGTAAGTCCCAAATAAGTGTACCATAAATGCTAGCTAGAATACTATGGTACCAGCAACTAGCATGTTCATGTTATTAAATATCTGAGCAGTTTTGTTTCTTTTTCTTTTCTTTTTTGGCTATAAAGCACATACATGTATGTGAGACACTGTCTTCACTTCATGTTATTCAGACACAGACAAAGCTTACCTTGTGTCGATTTAAGATATACTATGGAGGGTACCGGTATAGTTCCAGAGTAGAGTACTTGTTAGCATGTCCAAGACCCTGGATTTAATACCTAACACTACCAAAAGAGTGTTAATACCTACAAAACAAAACCCCACTAATTTGAAATAAAAACAGCTCTTACATTTATGAAGAAATAAATTTCTCTTCATTCCTATGTGTTTCCTCTTTGTTGTAATTATATCCAGTTTTGCAGCCTTCCACGCAAAGTAGGTCTGTGTAAACAGCGAGTGAGGGAAAGCAATGCCTGTGACAGACAGAATGGTTCCTGGCCAGGTTGTCCTGCGGGACCGCAGCATGCCCTGAAGGTGCTGCTCTTCACCCCACCACTACTCTCCCAGTCTGGTGCATTTCTACCTGCCTCAGATCCATCCCAGAAAGTCAGGGAACAGATGTCACAGCATCCCACCTTAGAGTCACAATTGTGAGCCCGGTTGCTGCGTGAAACATGCTCTGCAAGGCAGACTTATGCACGTTATTATCTTTGAGAGATGTATCAGAAAATTTTCCACTTCTGTTTAACATCAAATAAAAGACTTCCGAAGTAATAAAATGTTTTTGGCATCAAACTTCCTCGTGCAGTAGAGAAAATGAAGACTTGTCCTTGCATAGTTTAAACTGCCCTCTCTCCATCTCACTTCCCCTCTTTGGTGGTGGTCCTAGGACGCAATTGGTTTATGTTCAGTATCATACACCGGTTAACACTTAATAAATGCTTGCTAATGATGGTGATGTTATATAACCATAGAGGCACTACTGTGGGGTTCTGACTAAATAGATCTACATTTCCCTTGAACATCTATTGGGTAATACCATTCCATTCAATCAAAATTAATATTCCTGAAGTTACACAGGAGTTTGGTTATGTATTTTTAGCTCAGATAAGTACCATTCACAGCCTCTAAAAATGAGTCTGAGGCTTTTTTCCTCCACAAGTTGAATTTTTCCAGAATGCTGTTTTAAATAGCAGGCCCTTCATATTAAATCATTTAACTCTGGTATTAACTGAAGAGTTATAAAGTGACTGAATCTTAGCATACTAATAATGGCAATATATCAATTACCCAAAGTAAAATTTAGCATAGTAATTTACAAATTCCTTAGAGAATTCTTCATCTCTGTTGCTTTCAAAAGGTTTTGATCATTGTTTTCATTTCAGGTACTTCCCAAACGATGCCACCAAAAGTTTTGCTATTTCTAAAATACTCTCATTATGAAATAAAGTCTATTACTTTTCAGGTTATAATTCTCCAAGTTACCCATGGCCTTTTATTGTTTTGTGTTTTTTAGCAGAAATTAAAATCTAAATCATCTGGTCACACATCTGTCAGAGCTTCTCTTCAAGATCCCCATAAAAGGTAAGTTGAGATTGCTTTGGTGAATTGCACACTCTAGTGAGCAAACACTATGAGCATAGTCTAGTAGATTTTGTTACCATTTAAGCAACAGTGACATTGCGGAACAAAGCCCTGGCCAGCCTTCAAGAGAAAGACCAATAGTAATATCTTTAGTGTTCTTATTGTCTCTGACCCCTTACTATAAGGGAAATTAAGTGGGAGACTATTACTATTGTAAATAATTTTCTGCCATTTTTTTAAAAAGTGTGAACAGTTCTGCAAAATGAATGTTCTGTTATAGTCTTTAGTATTTACTTTGTCCCTTACATTATTTGGCAAACACATTTTTCTGTGACTCATTTTAACTCCTTGAGTGTTTCTGAACAAACAGGTGATATCTAATAAAGCAGTGATCCTGTAATAAATACCTCTTGTTTGAAATCACTGGCCTGCCGGGGAAAATATACAATTTGATTACAAGGACATGGAGTCAGTGTGGCCAAATTAACGTCTCGTATTTCTTTTTTATTGAAATTTTCATTTTTCTCCTTCTGTTGAACACGTCTAGTTGCAGCCCAGTGTACCTCGGTGGAAGCACAGTTCTGAGTGGGATTGGAACACATACTTCACAGAGGTAGGAGGATATCGCAGATGTGTTACACTTTCTTAGGTTTTTATGACTTGATACCCTGTTGCTAAAAGATGGTTCTTACCATCTTGGCATCAGCCTGTGTTACAATGGCAGATGTATAAAACTGGCCAACCTAAAAACACTTGGTTAATGTGCTTCTTCCTGGGAAGTTGCTGTTGAAGGCTGTGCTGCTGGGGTATATTGCTCGCATGTTGATATCCTTTTCCAAGTCCCAGCTTGGTGTCCATAGGACATCACAGGAGTGAACCTCCTTGCAGACAGTGGTAGCCATGAGTGGCAAAGCTGGCGAAACAGTGGGGCTGGGCAGCTTGCCTGATCCCGTGCCACACTGACAACCAAGCAGCATGAGTCTGCATTTCCCAAAATTTCGCACACATAGTTGGTTGATTTTGCACATTTCAAAAGCGAAAAGCCACCTTTCTTTGCCTTCTCTGCTTGCTCCCAACCCGACCGCCTTCTCACTGTATCCAGGCAGCCTTCGGTAGTGATGGTGCCGCATGACACCAAGCTCCTGTCAGCTCCTGCAGTAGCACAGGATGTTACCATTTTGTTAATTTAGGGAGAGAGACTGGTTCGAAACAAAGTTTTCTGCCAGCCTGCTACTTTGGAATCTGTTTTTTGGCAGAGGCCTGTTTGTATAGATCACTTTATTTTTTCTCTTTACTTCTAAAACTTGTTATTTTGTTCATTTTTCAAGGAAGAAAATACTAGGTTATATGATTATGCATAGGCACATTTCTGGAGGACTGTTATAATAATAATGAAAGTGAAATCTAAAAAAACATTGGTGGAGGATTGTGCTGGTGCAAAGTTAGATCCTAAGAAGCTGAGAAGGAAAGTCTGTGGGCCCAAAGTGAAACTGGGAGTCTCTCATTCTGGCTTTACTGAGGAAACCAGGCAGCACACAGGCTAGTGCACTAGGGTGTTGCCCGCTGCAAGTGCTGTTAAGAATCGACCAGCAGTCGAGTCATCATGTGTGGAGGAAAGCCTGAAGAAATAATTAGCCGTATAATACAGTCTTGTTGTTACCATTCCTGAATTACCGGGACCAACTCAGTTGGACCTGTCCAGGTCGTTTCCAGAGCTATGCCACTTCTAATTGAGGGATCTACCAAGTCACCCAGGAGCTACAGCTGCGGCTCCCAAGTTTGCACTTCCAGTTCCCCCACATGCAGCATTCAAGGCAGCACACCTGAAGTGTGAGCTTTGAGTGCTCCTCTCCTGTTCAGGAAGCCAGTGAGAGCTTCCATTTGTCTCACATTGTCTTTGAACTTGGTATGATCTTTACCAAATTATTATCCCTATTCTTCTTCTTTTCTGTTTAGTTCCTTCACCTGCAATTAAGGCCTGGGTCAGGTTCTCAACTCCCACTGGAAAGTTGTCATTTCTACTCTTCATTTAGACTTTTCAGCCTCTTGAGTATTCTAACATTGTATTCCCTATCTAGGGTGACGCTCATTTCTGCCATGTCCCCTACTATCTCACCTGTTTAATTTACATACTGTAGATTCATTTAAACTTTCATTGTTCGTTTTTCGAAATGCATTAAATGTGCACCCTAAGCCTTGGGGTAGTGACCAGAACAAATAAAGAGCAAAGGATTCCATTGGGGCTTGAAGAGGGAGGGCGCTCATGACCGAACAACTGCGTCAGTCTGCCGCTCACAAGCTGCCACGACTGGAAATGTTGTCTTCTAAAATCTCACTTTCCTTTTCCATAAAAACCAGTCATACTTCATGGAGATACTGTGAGGATGAATGAACCAATACAATGCACAGTAACTGTGCCGTGGCACAGAAGACGGCCGGCTGTGTCCGGAACCCTGACTTCTTGTCATCCTGTCTTCCCTAGCAGCTCATCTGCTCTCTCCTTTTGTTCTGTCTCAGAACAAGAACCCTCTATTCTATTGTTTCCATCTTATCTCAGGACTACATCAGTGATTATCGGTGCTTCTGATTTTAAATATAGTCTTTAAAAAATTTTTTCTTGCATATAGTATTTTTTTATATGTGTACTTTTAATTCTACCATAGAGTATTATTTTTAGATGGAATTTCAATAGACAGAACAGCCTGAGCCAGGCATGGTGCTCCATGCCCAGCTCTCTGCAGGCCACAGCAGAAGGATTGCTGTGGGCTACATAGCAAGACACTTTGTTTTAAAAAAAAAAAACAGCCTCTTTCTATGTTTGAGGGTCCTATTACATAGTATTGATGCATGAGCATACCAGAATCTATCAACCCCGTTCCTACCTTATACGCAGCTACAACAGGAAATACCATTTGCTATATATGCACAGCTAAAAGTGTGTATTCCCAGACCTTCCTCACCCAGCACAGAGATAGTCACCAGCTGCCCCTTTCAGGACCCAGAACCTGCACACATAAGACAAACACATATATTTGAGTGCAAATAAAACAATTCATGTGTAAGTTTTTTATGCTGTTCAGAGCAGTTTTTTGCACACTCGTTGGTTCACCTGGACTGGAGGGGGTGGCAGATCAGATGGAGCAAGAATTTTTAACTCCATTTTATAATGCAGCTACTAGGTCACAAGGGTACTGCTAAGCTGTGGTGTTTGTAGGTTAGGAGTATTAAATATGCTGGACATGACAGCACACGCCTGTAATCCCAGCAATCGGAAGTTTGAGGCCAGCCTGGGCTACGTTGTAAATTCAAAGCCAGCCTGAAGTACATAGCAAGACTCTGTCTCAGAAGATAAAAAAAAAAAAAAATGCTAAATACATTTTTTATTTAGGATAGATTTATCAAAATGTAGCCTGTTGTAAGTTGGAAGTGTCTACATGAAAGAGAAAAATATTTAAGCCCTGAAAATGAAGTTTTTTATATGCTAAGGACATAAATTGAGTCTTTCCTGCCTGTTGGTTTTCTTTATTTGATTACCGGACAAACCTGTGGTTTGTAAGTAATGATGAATGTTTAACAGTAGAAGGACTTGAGGGTTTTTTCCCACTGTGCCAAAGGAGAAAGATTTTCTGGTTTGTGAAAAGAGAAAGCATAGGAAATGTGTTGGCATCGATAAGTAATGTAGATAAAACCAAGATGTTCTTTTCAAGCCAATCAAATGTTACTCTTCTTAAACTACTTGCAAGACTGAATTATTCCATAGACTCATACTAATTATGATCTAATAGAGTGAATTGTAGCAGTGGAATGATTTGTTAGCTGCAAGTTAGTTTTATTTTTCTCATAGGACAGTGTAGGAAAATGTGGTAGTGTGAATAGATTTGAATAAACTACTAAATTTTTAAATTAAATTAAAATGTTGTACTTAACATCGTGGTTGAGATTTTTCACATAAAAAATGTCAGGAAATTCTAAGTTATAGTTCCCACAACAGCAATATTTCAGCTGAATTGCACACATGTATTAACGCATTAAAGTTAACACTTTGCGCAATAGTGTAATAAACTACATATGCATAAGAAAGCAAGTTATAGTAGCTTTGGGAACCATCATTCTGCATTTCCTGACTTACACATTCAAAATCTGAGTTCAAATGTGTACCAGTATCATTGTGTTGAATCTCCATATCTTACAAATATAGCTTCATTGTGTTGAATCTCCATATCTACAAATATAGCTTTCTAACAGTTACATAGAAAATACAGAATTGCTTATGAAACTCATCTGAACTCTTAAATATTTAGTTATTGTAATGGTAATATTTTTAGAAATATAAAGGATTCATCATAAAAACTGTCAGGGCAAAAAATATTTAGTTTTGAAGTTATCTGAGTTTTGGAGGGAAATATGTGAAAAAAATCTTATGATGGAAATACTTTATTATTTTCTGTTATAGAAATACTATATGCCTATTAAATTATCTGTCTATTTTCTTTGGTACCAGAGATCAAACTCATAACCTCATGCTTGCAAGACAGGCGCTTATGCCTCTGAGCTAAATCCCCAGCCCCTTATATGCCCATTAAAAATGAAAAATATATACAGAAAAACATAATCTCTCTCCCTCTTCATTTCCGCCACTCCTAAGCAACCAGTGTTAGCTGCGTACTATATAACCTTCTGCATCTTGCTGCATTTTCCTTCTAATTTAAAACTATCCATTCAAGAATTTTCAATTGTTTTTACAAAAATAGAATAATGCTACAGTGTACAATGAATCTCCAGAATTTGCGAGGATTATGTTTCTAGAACACCTGTAAACTGTGAAAAACCACAAATGTAAGATATGGTCAGAGAAATAAATGTCTATTATGCTATTTTGGCCTAACTTTTTAGTTCCTGGAGCAAATCCAGTAGTTCAGCCTTCTGGAGTATCTTAAACTTCTCTGGCACTTAATTTCATGCCAGAAGCCTTAAATGGTGATGGTGTTTTGGTGGCATGTTAGGGATCTTAAAGCTTTAAGGAAAACGAATCTGAGAACACTAGAAACAACTATACTAACTACTGGCTGTACAGCAACCTGTTACAAGGTGGGAATGCTGGCGCATGTGCCCCGAGGGGTTCCAGGGCAGCAGCCAGACAACAGCAAGAACTGTGCTTTTGGACTGGCTGCTTGCAAACCTCCCACCAAAAAAACATTTGCAGAAGACATTTGCAGTTTCCACAAAATTAAGAGAGTTTCCAATGAACTACTACTAGTAGTTATATTCTAAGGAAACACCAGTGAACTCAGAACCACAGCTTCACAGGGATGCTGTGTTTTACTAGGTAACCTGCTCTGGCTATCCCTCCAAGGCCGGAGGTATATCTAACTTAATTTTCCTTATCAACTGCCTACTGTTGCACAGTGTACAGAGGCTATATGTTATTCAGGGTTTTGCCTTTTTGAAGATACTCAAGAGGTATCTTTTTTTTTTTTTTTGTCACTTTAGCAATACTGTATTAAAAGTTCACGAGATACATTCTTATATGTTGCTGCTTTTACTTATAGGTAATGTTTCCCAAAACAGAATTGCCAATACAATGACTGATTCAAAAATATGTAATGCTGCCTGGCCTGGTGGTACATGTCTGTAATCTCAGCCTGGAGACTGAGGCAGGAGGATCACAAGGCCAATCTGGGCAACTTAGCAAGACTCTGGGTCAAAATAAAAACCAGTGGGAGTATAGTTCTAGTGTAGAATGCCAGGGAGTTAGATCCCTGGTGCCTCAAATGATGATGATGCCAAGTTTTTCTCAAAATATACTAGTGTACAAGAATGCTAATTTTAACTTAATTAATGAAGCAATTTCATGTCTGAAATTTTAATTCTTTATATAACCTTTTAACAAACACTCTGTGCTGGGTACTTTACCAGCATGAATTCATTAGACCCTCATAGTAATTCTATGAGATGTAAGTACTCTTACTTATCCCATTTTATAAACGGCAGAACTGAGTTATAAAAATTGTAAGTTACTTAGCTACAGTCACACAGCTAATAAATATTGGAACAACATTTGAATGTAGGTGCTGTATACTTAAACTCATGCTCTTGAATATTATTTGCTGCCTGTACTAGTGCGATTATTATTTTTATATTTTTTTTCTCTCATTTGTAAGCACGTTTTTATGTAGTATAAATGTTTGACCATGTGTTAAAAAAGGTTTTCTACTCTATTACTGATCTTTTTTTGAGGGGAGGGTATCCTAAAAATTCTTATCACTTCCTTTTAAATTTTAGATGGTTGACTATATCTGTGTTGATCCTGGTTTTTAAATACTTCAAACAATTGAGGATGTTTCTTTAAATCGTAATTACTACACAAGTGAGATTATTTGCAGCAATGATTCATGATTCTTTTTTAGTGTGTCATATGCTGTCATGTCACTAAGGTTCTTACTGGTGTTTGCATAATTACGCTTTGAGAATCGTTTGGCCTTTCAGTTGCTCAGCTGTTGAGTGCCATTATAAGCTGTGTCACCCCGGCTCCCCCGCCCTCCTGTCCAGCGTCCCCTGCGCTTCACTCTTCACTGCATCCTTGTCTCAGCATACAAGCTTGCACTTCTCCCCGCTCCTTAGGCATAACCGTCTCTGAACCCCTGAGTAGTTTTTGATGAAACTACTCAATGAGGCCTGTGTAAATACCCTGTTCAAAACTTGACCCTTTCCCTCCTGGTGCGCCCAGTCTTTTTATTTGTTGTTTTGTTTTATCTTACTCTCCTTATTACAGCGGTGCCTCAGTTCTTAAGTTCAATTCTTTCTATGATTCTGTTCGCAAATCTGAATCAAATTTCCCCAGAAGGTCAACATTGACCCTAACCATTGAATTTGATTCAGTTCTTATGTATTTCGATTTGTAGCCAAGATTGTGGAAAGAGTTAAGTTCATGAACTGAGGTACCACTGTACTTCATTAACAGCATTTTTCACCTTCTAAAATACCATATAATTTAGTTGCTCTTAGTACTGCTTTTTAGCTCATCATTCACTAGACTCTTAATTCCCCACAAAAACAAGGGTCTCACAAGCACATAATATGTCCTAGTAAAATTTTTTTAAGTGAGTAATTGAATGCATCTATGCCAACTAGTGGGAAACAGAAACAAAAAAGATACTGCCCCAGCACTGAAATAGTTTATGGAAGAGACAGATTCATTTCAGTACGGAAAGTTTGGTGAGAAGGGCAGCATTTCAAAGAAGTTATCTCGCTGAAGAGCTCAGTTTGAAAACCATCAAATTAAAAGACCTGCAAACCCATTTTGTGTCTCTTTAAAGTGTATATATGCATGTATGTGTCAGGATGCAAGATGTTAGGAGTGTACAAAATAACTAACCTGAAAGTTGAGATATATAGACAGTCCTTAACATCTATAAGCAGAAGCAGATTAATCTGTACTTTTTTATTATTCAGTAAACTATAGTGTCTGGTGTATTCAATGAATAAATCACTATGTTTTCATATTTAAGCATACCAATCATCTCTAACGTACATTTCGTTTTCTCTCAACAGGGCATGTGACCATCTACGTTGTATAGCCTGTGATTTCAGAGTAGTGAGCTACAATGATTATATGTGGGACAAGTCATGTGATTATCTGTTTTTCAGGTATGTTTCTAAAGAACTTCACTCTGTGAAAAATGTACCAAGGACTTTACAGTTTTTCTTTTGCTGTGTTCTCTCTGGTGAACTTGAGCAGATTGTGTGACCTTTACCTGTTCAATATTCTCTCGTCCATCTTTTCTTTCCTTTCTTTTCTGTCGGCTGGATATACAAGTAGCCTTTTCACTGATTTTTTGCCTAAACGCTTTTCTTTCCATGCTCAGAATTAAAGCATAGCTCTGAGTGGCCATTCTCCTGCCCATTACCCTTCTGCTCACAGAAGAGACCAGATTCCGTAGCATGGTATTCAGGATCCATCGTGGTCCAGCTTTGCCCCCTACAATATGCTTTCACCCTCGTAAGATCCTAGCTGTATTATCATTCTTGATGCCACCATTCCCTCTGCCTGCAAGCTCCCCACCTGCTGGAACACCTTGCCCACTGCTGTACCTACCTGAGCCTTCTCTGTCCCCAAGTACACTCTTCCTTCCCTGTGTGTCCTTAGCACTTCGGTCATATAGCGAAGCACTTAAGTCATATAGTGTTGAAGATCTTAAGTTGTTTCACAGTTACCTTCCTCATCATCAGGGTAGTGGCTTACTCATATTTTTATAATTTGTGCATTCTTATATACTTACAAAACAACATTGTTACAGTGTTACAAGTTGCAAAACTGTATTTGAAGAAAACATTCACATTTTTATTGTTAAAAGTTAAACACTAACCCAGGAATGGTGGTGCACACCTGTAATCCCAGCACTTGGGAGGCTGAGGCAGGAGGATCATTGCAAGTTTGAGACCAGCCTGGGCTATAAAATGAGCTCAAGTCCAGCCTGAACTGCGTATGCATAGCAAGACCTTGTCTCAAAAAGATGGAAAAAAAAAGAGTTAAACATTAATAAAGTACATGTTATCATGTGTTTTGGCCTGCTAGACCTATGCCTAAACAAAGATTGTTTTCAGCTACAAGTTAACTCCAGTACATCACAGCACTTTTCAGTAAAGGATAACATGAGAGAGCTGGAGAGTGGCTCGGGTAGAACCCAGTGTGTAACACACATGGGAGGCCATGGTTTGAGCCCCAACTACCAACAAGAAGGAAAAAAATGTGAGGCTTAGTTCTTTGTGGTCATTGTCAGGTAAACCTATTGAAGTCTCTCCTAATTTATAATTTCTTTTTACAGCAAGAACCACTCCTAAAATCTTACAAATGCTCTGAATCCTTTTCATTCACACACATACACATTCAAATATACAGATACAAAGAAAAATTAGTTTCCAGGTTTGACAATTTCCAACCCAAATAAAGCCTGCCACAGTCCACAAGTCCTGGTTTAGAAGCCCTGCTCTGAAATTTAGTCACTTTTTATTCCAGTAGTTGGAAAAGTTAGCTTTTAGTTTCAGTTTTGTTTCCCCTTTTGTGACTCCTCTGAATCCTCCACTGTTTACTGTCTTCTGGCTTATCTCGTAAGTGTTACTAATCTCCACGTGTCACAACATGGACCTTACATTTTATAAAACTGACTTAGGGTAGTAAGGTGTGTGTGATGAGTACAGGCTTACAGTCAGCTTGTGGTGACTCGGTTGGTACTTGCAAATGTCGCAGGCATCAAGAGCGCCATTTGGGGTTGGGAGTGTAGCTCAGGGGAAAAGCGCTTCCCGAGCATTACTGAAGCCACAGCTTCAGTCCCTAGCCCTGCATTATAAAAGGAAACCTGCTGCTTTACTCCAGGTCTGGGACCCTCTCTGAAAACATGTAGTTATATTTTTAGGTGAAACGGGCGATTAGTAAAAATAAAGCAGTTATTATTATTTAAGTCAGTATGAAAATAGCATCCCAACCTGGGAGATGCTTAGGAATATATTTGGGACATAAGAGAATGATACAACTAGAGAATAAGGCTGTCTCCACAATCAACATAAATTGTTGATATGACACTAATTTCATAGAGCTTAATGGTGTTCCCTTATGCAGCAGACATTACTTAGCACCTAGTTTTGAGCTATAAATTCGTAAGGTAGAGAGGACTCAGTTTCTCCTTTTAAGTAACCACAGTTCCCAAAGATGGAGACACATCATGCCCTCAGTGTGACAGGAGAGCAAGATTAAAAGAAAGATTATCAAGGGCCAAGTGGAGACCCTTTGCTCTGCAGCTTGAGGGGAGGCCTCTCAGAACCTTGAAAACTGGGCCTGGGAAGTAGGATTTGCCTAGAATACGGTGTGGTGGTGTTTTAGGTGATGCACCCATTTTTGTAGCAGCACAGATCATAATAGCCGAATCTTGGAAGCAACCTATGTGTTCATCAGCAGATGAGTGAATAAAAAAAATGTGGTATTTTTACACAGTGGAGCACTACACTACTGTGCCATAAAGAAGATAAGCTTGTGGATAAAAGGATGTACTGAGCTCATAATGTTAAGTGAAATGCATCAAACACTCAAGCTTAAATACTGTGTGATTTTACTTACATGAGAAACCCAGAGCAACCCAGAGCATAAATAAAGACCAAAGTAAGATATGAATGACAGTGAATAGGGAGCTAGGTCTTTCTCAGATAGGAAAAGGATCAAGAGATGGAGGGAGAGAAAGAGAAGAGGGAAGGGAGGGAGAGGGAATGAAAAAAGAATTAAAATGTGTCATGCACGTGTGTCAACTCCCCACAGAGAAGTAATCATCATGTACTACAAGCATGCACTAACAAAAAATGAAAACTAAAAATATAAAGACAGAGAAGGAGGCCATGCGCCGTGTGTGGGGAGCTGACAAGTCATTGGAACTGGATACAGGGGCAAGAGAGAAAGTCATGGAAAGAGATCAGAAAGACCCGAGGAAGCTGTCCTGGGGAATTCGGGCTTGATTCTTTAGGCCGAGGGTCACCGCTGAAGTTTTTAACCAGGAGGGAAATCTGAATAGATTTAAATTCTTAAACGGTAACTGAATATTATGTGGGACCCAGGCCAGTGCGGAGTCACGGGTAATGCATCTGAGCTGTGACGGGGAGAAGGACAGAGAGGAAAAGGTGTATTTCAGAGGTCGTCCTGGCTGTGGAAGGCGAGAGACAGACTTCATGGGACGCGACCCAGGCCTCTGTCTAGCTCACGTGGATGGACGATGATGGAGCCCATGGGTCCTCGAGGGAGTTTAAGAACAAATGTAAGGGAAGAGCCCTTGTGTTCTTCGATGGGAGTGTTGAAGCTGCCTCTGCAGCCCAGGAAGGAAAGTGATCTGTGGAGCGGGGTGGATGGCATGGGATGCAGTTTGGAAGATTGAGCAGGGCCAGGGGTCCTTCAGCTGAGACGCGCCGAGGCTTAGGTCCTGAGTGGGAGCGTGGACACGGCAGGGACTCGGGTGCGCTGGTGGAGGCTCAGCCCTGGACAAGAAGAGGAAGAGCAGCTCCCCTGCCCGGAGGGAAGGCGGTCAGACACTGATGTGTTAGGGAGAGCCTGCTAGAAAGCGGAAGGCTTCACGTGGCTGCTCACTTGGTTTGAAGAGTAAGAGTATGATCTGCTCCCAGTGAGGTACGAGGGAAGTCGAAACACCAGGAGGATGCAGTCTCGGCACCGAGGTTAAACCCGAAGGAGGGGTGAGCAGAGGGCGAATTGAAAGGCCTGCAGAGAGCCTCCCACTGCCTGCCCCACAGCTCGGCAAGCTGTCTGTTAGTGATGTCAGTCTGCGCATTTGTCACCACATGGAATGTTGTGCAGTTGGTTATTGTCCTTATTTCACAGACAGGGGAAGTAAGTGTGTCCTAGCTTTTGTCTTTCTAGAAAAACATAAACCGTATTTGCTGAGCACCTGTCATTGTGGCCAAATAAGATATCTTTACTTTTCTATTAAGTGTTTTAAAGAAAAATAATGGAATAATTTCTAAGATTTAAAAATATTTGAGATATATTAGTCTCCTGGCTACTCAAGATTCCTATTCCTAAAGTCTCTAGGAATTCAGTCATCTATCAAAGTATTTGTCAAAACATATTGGAGATTGAATAAAAGATGTTTCATTTAACCAATTTAGTTTTACTATTTTTATTTTTTCTGATAAAGCAAATTGTTCAGAGTCTCATTTTCCTAGAATCAGACATTTGACAGGAATTCTCTCAAGTGTTGGTCAGCTGTAACCTAACAAGTGCAGCAGTAGTGGACACGATGCCCACTGGCCAGCAGAGGGCACTTGGGAGCCTACTTTCCGTTAAGTGACTCCCGCAAGGAAAAGATAAAGCACAGTCTTTTTATTGTCATTTATACTGTCTTTCATCATTTTACTTTATATTTTTCATTTTTTATTATGTCTATTTTTCTTTGTCATTTAATGTTTGCATGAGCTCAGTATATGAATTGTAAAAATCATAATTCATTTCCTTAAGTAAATGTATAGTAACTTCCGTATTACCTTCTTATAATGGCACCAGGTCCAATGATTGTTATCATTTTCATGAAGGTCTTGGTGATTTAGTTACTGAACTATATTAACTTTTTTTCAGTTTTTATTCTTGTATTAATCTACATTTGCAGTACGTACTGATCACATTGCTAGTGGGAAGTTGGCACGTGTGGGTCACACATCTTCAATTCTTTTTCATCCCCTTCTCTTTCCTCCCACCCAACCCCACACTGGCAAGATTATTAACATTGGTTTCAGGGTAGGCATTTACTTTGTCTTTGATGATACCAGTAAATAAGCAAATCATTGAAACAAATGAATTCAACATACAGACATACCAAGCATTTTCTCCCTGTGAGTGTGGATTTTCTGTGGTTAATCCATCTGAATCCCCTAGTTCACCATAGCCTTAGAACAAATCACTTTTTTTCAGAGTCTCATTTTCCTAGAATCAGACATTTGACAGGAATTCTCTCAGGTGTTGGTCAGCTGTAGTGAACCTCAGAAAGACCATCAAGGCACATATTCTACTGTTAGTGTGGAGGGACCAAGGTCATTTGATGTTCAGATGCTGTAAGAAACAAGTAGAACCTTTTTTTTTTACTTCATTAAGTACTGGACAAAGCCACTAAGCTAAAACCTTCCTGTTTTGCTAATAGGAACAACATGCCAGAATTCCACAAGTTAAAAACAAAGCTGGTGAAGAAGAAAGGAACACGGGCGTATGCCTGCCAGTGTAGCTGGAGAACCATTGAAGACCTGACTGACCTACAGGCAGACCACCAGCTTCGCTGGGTTTGCGGAAAACATTAGGAATGCAGCCTTTCCACACTGGACAGAAGCATCCATGAAGCCAGGCTCCAGTCATCATCCTGTTTATGTAAAGTAAAAAGCTGGTGATTTTTATGCAGCTACACATATTTTTTGAAGACCAATGAACTGAGGAAGATTGTACTCTCTTAACACTTTGGAATCGCTGTGTTCTGGTGTATGGATGTTGATAAGGTTAACACACACCCAAATTCTTTGCCAGCCTCTTTCTCCCATTAAGTGGAAGTCTAATGATGGAGTTCGGTCCGTATATCTAGCCTGTCCATAGCACCTGCAACCTTGCTTGTAGTGCAGTTAGTGTGAGCTTCCTCATGGATGGAGGGGAAGGGGAAGAGGCTGGCCAAGCCAGGGAGGTCATCACAGGAGAGTTACACCACCTCCTCCGGTCAGCTCTGTGGTTCCCAGAGATCCTAATTCAGACAGGGCAAAAGCCAAATGATCGTGTCTGGCTGAAACATTGTCAGGTGTACATTTGAGAACACTGCCTTGTATCTCATCTTACCTCAACTCACAGCAGTGTTATACACAATGATAAGGATGGGTTATCCATTTTATTTCACCTTTTATTGGTCTAGATATGAAAAGCTATTTAGTTTTCCATCTGAACATATACCCTTATATATAAAAAGTTTCTTTGACATATAAACAGTCCTACTACAATGTGTTGGATTTTTCAGTACTCTAGCCTGTAATGCTTAAGATCCATGTAGTGAAAGTAAGTAAGATCATGTTTCAGGCAGCCTGAGTCTCTTCGGGTAGGATCAGGCTGATGCATTATTTACGAAATGAATACATGAAAAGAGAAGGTGTAACAGTTAGCCTCCTGGAATTCTCCTTGACTGAGGAAGGAAAGCAGTCCCCTCAGCTCCCAGCCCCACTGAGACACCCTGGGGGACTGTGCAGTCTGCCAGAACTCCACCACATGTGTCTGTAATTTGGTTCAAGTGTCTGACATGGGTGCACAGCAAAGGAGTAATTTTTAGCAAAGTAGTGATCTGCTTGGTCTTATGCCAGTTCCGTTCCAGTACCCTACAAAATAAGGAATATCTGATATTAAAATCCTTTTCCTGGTGGTAAGACACACCTATATTCCCAGCACTGGGAAGATGAAGCAAGAGGATCCCAAATATGACTCCCGCTCTGGCAACTTAGATGCTGCCTTAAAACTTTTTGGCTCAGTGCAAAGGCCACGGGTTCAGTCCACAGTATCGGGAAAAATAAATACGTTCACAGCTATAGTTAAGTACGGCACTACAACAAAACAAAGCTCGTGGTGGCTGAGGCTTACATTTTTGTATTAAAAAAATGTTTACAGGTTTTATCCATGCAAAAATATTTTAATTCCTAAATTCGTATCTCTCTGAAGTTGTGTCAGAAACATTGGAGATTCAGATTAAATTAATTCCTTGAAAAAAATAGCAGATCGTCAAGATCCACATTCAGGACCTCATGAATTTGTGTATTCATCATATGATTTCTTTTATATCAATGAGAAAATTCTGTAAATCATTCATTTGAAAATATTTTAGCCAATGTTGCATCTAAAGGGACAACATTGCCTTGTTCTGTTATTTCAGTTACTTCTGTCCTGAATTCTGGACATGTTATATGTGACATTCCATAACATTATAATAATAATTCTCTGTCAGAAATGCATAGCTGAGTTTTCATTTTTATTGGCAACTTACAAGGTTTTCAGTATTGTACTATTTTTAAATAAAATGTAGAAAGAATATTGCTTATGTATAAATAGATAAATTATTACCTGCTATAATTTAAGCTAAAATGCAACTATTTTAGGATCAATATAGAAGAAAAGTTTCAAGTCAACTATAGTTTAAATATACAAAGTGTGTAACACTTATAGGATGTTTTCCTTATCTTCAATATTTATAATATTTGTCTACAGTTACCAAAGTACTGTCAAGCCAGACTTTACTTGGACTGTTATTCTACTTTCAGAACCTTATCTTTAGAAATGAGAAAATAATAAATAGCACCTTAGTTTTTATTATTTTTTTATTCTGTAGTAAAATATTCTTGTGAGCATTAATTTGGAGTAACTTCGATTTTTTTCAGTTTCAATATAAACATTTCTAATTATACAATTGACCAGAGGATTTATTTACATTGCAGAGAGGCAGGCCACAAGTTTGAGAAAGGCACGTGTAGTACACACCTGTGCGTGTGCCACACACTTGCATGTGGAAAGAGCACAGGGATGAGAGGAGTAGGTCCAGGTTCAACACATACAGACCAGGGCTGGGGATTTAGCTCAGTGGTAGAAGTGCTTGCCTGGCAAGCACAAGGTTGTGAGTTCAATGCCTGGTTACCCGCCCCCCCCCCCCCGGAAAAAAAGGAAGTACAGGCCATGTTGACATGGCCGTACATATCCAGATATCCATAACTCAGAATCCTTTTCTTGAACCAAAGAAAATGTCATCAGACTGTGAATCTGAATTGTTTTACTCATTTTCTTAATACTTAAAAATACAAAAAAAAAAAGTCTTTATATTCAAAGTACTCTTAAAAAACTTAGCAGCTCTCAGGTACTTAATTTTTCTCACCTCTTTTAACAGCTTATCAGCCAACATGAGGTCGCAGTAATGAGCCATATCTGTTGCTAAAATAGTTCTCAAAGAAAAAATTCAAAATGTACAAATCTCTGTAGAGGTTTCACATCCTTCTTTGGGTTTGTGCCATTACAGAAGATTGCCTTCGACATTCAGATCGAGGATAATTAAATGTGTCTTTCCTCCAATGCTGTGAAACTGGATGACAGAATGCTACAGAGTGGAAGCTGAGAGCCGTGTTCTTCCAGGGCCTTGACCTCTGGGACCGTGTGTAGGGATGGTGGGATCTCCTGCGAGCCACTGTGAGGAGTGGATCGGAGACTGTGATTAGCATGGCGTTCCGTTCAGTCCGTGCTTACCAAGTGCTCTCACTTTTTCCTTCCAAAATAAATACTGTCTCAAGTAGCAGAGTAGCACGTGTCTTAAAACAGATCACTTGACTACATTTTGTTCATTCTCCCACGAGAAAAGCAGCAGCACTGGCATTTTTATCTTGTGTCTAGGAAGTGTAAACGTGGCCACCTTAATTTTAGGTATGTTAGAGCTCCGGGTTGCCAGGAGAAAGAGGACCACTGCCCTTCCTACACTGTGTTCCCTCCTGCGGTAGGCCCAGCGGGCCGTCTGTCTCCTCAGCTCCCTCTGCCCCTGCTGTCCTCCTCTGGCCACAGCACTGCTCCTCAGCTGGGCCTCCCTCTTACCCGCTCCCCCAATCCTAAGCCATTATCTTCCACACCTCCGCTCCTCAAAGCAAGGTCCTGTCTCAGAGGAGTTTTCAGTCTGCAGGGAGGCTCCGAGGCCATGTGTACTCTCACAGCACTCAGATGTGGATTCCTGTTTTCACCAGGACAGGTACACTGAAGTTGCACACACTGAAGTTGGTCACACTGCTGGCTGCTTGCTTAGCACTTTTGGGAGCGGTAACACCATCCTCTTACAGTTTAAAAAAAATAAAAAGCCAGTTTCATATAAGGATGTTCTCGATAAAGAAAGAAAAAATTATTAATCTCAGCCTTCAAAAACAAAACATCCTTTTAATAGTCCATGTGGCTAGAGGCAAAGTGTGCATAAAACACTACACAGCTATAAGCTGAAAAACTGCTTTCCTCACAGAATCCATTTTTGCTTGAAAGAACAATTGACAGATTATTGGAATTCAAAAAACCCATAAAGTGATTCATTCCAGGAAAAGGAATAACAATACTCTGAGCCAAAAGTAAAATTTTGGAAAACTTATACCTACCAAATGAAGCATGACAGCTTCCCCAATACTTAAATTCTTTCCCGATGACAGTAGTGGTGATAACAAGTCCTTTTTGATACTATATAATGAAATGTGACAATATTTGGAAGATCTATTTAATTCAGCAACTGCCAAACGACCAATGCATGTTATAACAAAAGTATGCACTGAACTGGAAAAGACCAATGAGGATCAGCGTAACAGTACTCAGAGGTTTACTTGATAGCATTTGATCTTCTGCACTGTAGCTAACTTTGAAGAACTTCCTATAAGTATTGCAGAATAGCCACGATCAGCTGAAAAGACTATTAAAATATTCTTCCTTTTTCCAACTAATGTCTGCATGAAGCCAAATGTTCTTCTAAGGCCGCCACTAAACCTACCTCAAGAGAATGAGTGTAACAATAGACATGAAAACCCAGCTGTTTTCTATTAAGCCAGAGCTCAGAGATTAGCAAAAATGCAAAACAAATGCCACTCTTCTCATTATATTTGTTTTTGGAATATATGGTTTATATTTGTATAAAAATTTGATAATCTATAATGGTTTATTATTTTAAGTTTGTGTAGTATCAATGTATTGTCAATGCTCTGTTTTGATTTCTAATATCATTACATATAATTACTCCAAAAAAAGCTGGTTAGCACACACAACCACTTAAGAGTGCATGAGTCATGAGACCAAAAAGGTTGAGAACTGTTTTACACAACCCTGATTCCCCTCCTGCTCATACCCCTAGCCCAGCCTGAAGTTCTGATTTCTCACCTTCTTCCCTCTTAAAACTTTGTATTTCCCATAAAATACCTCATATTGCAGTTATTTGTTGTGTTTGTTATACTCTTCTTGAAGATGAGATGTCAACTCATAACGTCTCACAGGAGAAACTGAGGCGACGGTGCCCGTAATTTCCAGGCCACTGTGAACCACTGTGTCTTTGGGTTTATCCATAATAAAGATTGGATATAATGACATATAAATTTTCCAAATGGTATGAACACTTTTTAAAGAGCCACTTTGGTGGGCCCAGTGTGTGCGAGGCCACACTTTGGTATCTGTGTCACCTTAGCAGGGAAGAGCCTCGAGTCTGGGGTTCCAGACACAGGTTTCAAAATGATGTCATCTGTGTCCTGTCAGCCTTCTGTCAGTGGTGGGAAGAAGGGAACCACTTAGTACTGAAGTGACTACATGTCTCAGGGAAATGTCAGTGGCTGCTTAACAGATGGCAGCCATTAACTGAGCGGGACAGAAGTTGCTTCCTCCTAGATGGTTCTGAAGGTGTCCTAACAGAGGCTAGATAGAGGGGTCCGTGAGGAGTGAGGCCGCAGACACCTTGGGTTTGAGGAAGTGCGAGTGAGCTTGATTCTCTCAGAGGATGTGGGCAGACAGAGTAGCAAGAGCTGAGGCTGCTCCAGTGAGTAAGTCAGACCGAACCGAACCTCCTCCGCGAAGTCCCAGGGACACCAAGCAGTGGAGACAGAGGTGACAAGCACTTTGTCAGGTCACAGGCACTCTGCAGCAGTCTTGTTCTGGAGCATGGCTGTGGGACTCAGGATGATGTCCCATTGTCTGACCAGTGACAGCCACGTCCTTCAGGGCAGGGCAGGCGGAGTTCCGGTGAGACCAGCACCCCAGAAGGCGTGCACATGGAGTTGGTCAGCAGCACCAATGGGGGAGGCTGGGGCCTGGAAGGAGCTCCGGGGACAGCGCCCTGCCCAGAGACCTGAGGAAGCCGATCTCTGCCAGAAAGCAGGGGTTTTCCAGATGTCCCCCGGAGGTCTGACCCTGGCCTTGGGTGGAGGCTCAGGATGCTGGGTTTTTGTTTTCTTTTGTGTATTTTGCATCCAGGTCAGCAGTTTATACCCTTTATTCTCAGTTTTGAATAGAATTGATTTAAATAAAATCTGAATTAAGAGGCTGCAGAGTTCATCTCCGGCTCCAGGAGTACACAGTACTCAAGAGAAAGTTCTGCTAACGCGTGGCCACCGCCTCCGATAGCCACACAGGCCGTGAGTACATGAGAGTGAAGCCTAAGGCCATTTCCCCCACACACAATATGTGTTTTTTATTAGAGCCTATTTTACAGCTTCGGGCTTCGGTGCATAGATTCCGATCATATCCCACACCCGCTGTCTTGCCTTCCATCCTCTTCCCCTTCCCTGCATCTTTCCTCATGTCTAATAATACTCTCACTTCTGCTTTCATGTCATCTTTCTTAACACTCCGCAAATTAAGGAGAACATGTAATATTTGTCTCTTTTTTTAGATTTTTTTTTATTTTAAAGAAGATAAAACCAAGGAAAATAAAACAAAACCAATCAAAAACCAGTATAAGTGATACAGGACTTCAAAACCTTACGAAACCAACAACAGTTACCATACTGCCTCTTGTTGTCTTCAAAATAGCTGCAGATACCTTTGGACATAGTAAAACCCGAATAGAACAGGTTAGAATACAAACAATAAAAACAAAACAATGAATGCAAAGAAGGACTTCAAAACAAGCCACTAGTAAATCCAGAAGGCTACCATAGTATGTCTTGCTATCTTATAAATAGCTGCGCCTGCCCATCCAATTTAACATAATCAAACAAAACAAAGGAGAATAAAACCCAACCCAACAAAACAATCGAAAAGATATGGTTTCCGAGCCGGATCACTTCCTGGTGGGGCCTGGTTCTCTTCTCCCAGTGCAGTCCGGGAATGGGGGAATGGCGCAGACTGGCTGAGAGGCTTGGGTGTGGCTGTCCCCACTGGGGCAGCAGCCGGTGCATGCCGCTGCTTCCTTTGTCTTTTCTAAGTGGGGCTTATTTACTTAACGATGATCTCCGATCCATCCATTTTTCTGAAAGTAGCACAATTTCATTCTTCAGTACAGCTGAAGAAGGCTCCTCATTTTCTTTATCCGTTCATCTGCTGATGAGCACGTGAAGCCCTCCCCCCCTGGGCTGTTGTGAATGGTGCTGCCATAAACATGGATTTGCCAGTACCCCCGCAGTGTGCTGACCGCATTTTCCTGCTCAGAGACCCAAGAGTGGGGAAGTTGGATCAGGCAAGTGGCTCTACTTTTAGTTTTTTGAGGAACCTTCATGCTAATTTCCATCGGGGTTGTACTAATACCTACCCCCACTAGCAGTGTAGAAGAGTTCCTTTTTCTCCACATCCTCACCAGCATTTATTGTTTTTTGTACTTTTGATGACTGGGGGGATGTGGAATCTCAGTGTAGTTTTGATTTGCATTTTCCTAATGGCTAAAGATGTTTAATATGTTTTCATACACTAATTGACCATTTGTACTTCTTTTGAGAACTGCCAATTAATTAATTTGCCCATTTATTGACTATTTGATTTTTTTGGCTGTTGTTTTTTTGAATTATTAGTATACTCTAGATTTTTTAAATTTTGTTTTTATTAGTATATGTTTGCAGTTCATAGTAATTGCATTCTTCATGGGGAGTTGGTACATGCACATAACTCACCCTAATTCTTTTTGCATCCTCCTTCCCCCACCCTCCTCTTCTAGATATTAGTCATCTGCCAGAAGAGTAGATCATAAAGATTTTCTCACATTCTGGAGGTCATTGCTTTACTCTGTTGGTTGTTTTCCTTGCTGTACAGAAACTTCAATTTTGATATAGTCCCATTTGTTGATTTTTGTTGTTGTTTGTTTTTTATGAGACATGGTCTTGCTATGTACCCAGGCTGGCCTTGAACTCACCTCAATCCTCCTGCCTCTGTCTCCTGAGTGCTGAGGTTACAGATGTGCCCCTCTGTGCCCAGCGACTCTCACTATTATTTACTCTATTATTGGAGTCCTAGTCAGCAAGTCTTCACCTGTGTCTGTGGCTTCAAACATTTCCCCTACGTTTCCTTCTAACAAGCTCAAAACTTCAGGTCTCATTCTTATGTCTTTGACCCATTTTAAGTTGATATTTGCACAAGGTGAAGACAGTGGATCTGGATTCAGTCTTCTCAATGCGGATATCTAGTGTTTTCAACACTTTTTTTCCTAGCACTTTAGAAACTGTCTTTTTTCCAATATGTTTTGAGACTGAGGGCCCTGGTCTCCGTTTTGCTAGAGAGTAAAACCAGAGGCCAAGCAAGAAAGATGGACCCATGAGGTAGTTTCATGTGATTCTTATTTACACGTAAGAAAACAGGCACAAA